CCATATGAGAAATAAAATGGAGATTAATAAAAAATTTGTCCAAGGTCATAAGGAAATTCTATGAATAAAAATATAATTTTTATAGATAAAGTTTAATTCTATTCAGAAGGTTTACAAACAATAAAATTTAATTAACAACAGATATATTCAAATCCCAATAAAATCTTTTGTAGTTCAGGAAAAGAGAGTCTCTTATTATGATAATGTTAATTTAAATTATTTCTTAGGATTTTAGATTACTTAACATAATTATGTTATTTATACTAAAATAACCTTTATTTATATTCATAATAATTAATTAATTACGATTACTTAACTCATAAAATCTTATGAGCGATTTATACAACTATTGATTAAATAATTATTTAGATCTAAAATGCTTAAAATCTTTTAAGTTTTAAGGTCTAAGTTATCTAAATTTTACATATAAAAACAATTATTTTAATGTTTATCTATCAGTTCTATTATTTGATACCATGTTTTAAATATTTTAATTATTCATATATCTATTCTACATTCTTTTTCAAAAGGTCAAATAAATCTTGTTTTTTTGATTTATTGTTTCAGGAAATTTTGAATTAGATGAATACCCATTTTTTTAATATTCAATAAAAAACAATATAGAATTGTTGATTGTCTTGTTTGAATTTATCTGTAAGTTCTTTAAGCTTCAAAATATACTCTCATCGATTATAAATATCATAATTCCGAAAACTGTAAACTTAAAACAAAAATTACTAATTATGAATTCTTGAATCAGAGATAAGGTGATTCAACTTCTTGCTTTATGTTATAAAATTAACTAGAATCTAAAAAATTGGATCTATATTATAAATTCATTTGTAAATTTGAAAAACTAATTTCTAATCCAAGAAGTTGATAAGTAATTAATTATATTTTGTTTCTTATTATTCTTTATTCAACAATATACCATCTTTTTTCTTTTCTATGATTATTTATATTTTTAAGATGATAAATCTTCAGTATATCATGTGATCTCAATCATTTCGTTCTATTAATATTTAATAAATATTCTTTTAAGGTGTATAATAATTTATAAATATTTTTAAACTTGTATCTTTGTTAAAGCTGACCCATTGAATATTTCCATAATATAAATATCCTTACGAAAATATAGAAATTCTCTGTGAATTTGGGACGCGTTATTATTTTTTACATATTTAAAAAAAATTCTTTACAAATCACCCTATCAAGATATTTAAATACAAAGTTTAAAATCCAAAAGTTATCAGAACAATTTTCTTCATTAAATGATAGCATAAACCCCATCAATGATAAAATTAAATTTTTAAATTGATATAATTAATAATAATGAATAATATTTATATTAAATCTTAATAATTTTCATTATTCTTTATATTTTCTGACTTATATTTACTTTGATTTATAATCCCACGTTATCAAATAATCTCCATCATTACTCATTCCTCCATATAAAGAATTTGTATCAAAATGAATAGATTATTGAGTTACAAATTCTGCATTTAATTATTTTCTTATCAAATTGACATATTAGCCATTCTTACTCATGAGAATACATTTTTAATTTATATATTATTAAGGAAATAAA